TTTTTTTTTTTTTTTTTTTTTTTTTTTTGTCTTTAACATACATTACCATAAATCAACATTTCTTCTTTTTTTTTTTTATTAAACTCACTTTCTTTGTGGTTTTTTTTTTTTCCCTTCAGATAACAAATTTTTCTTACTAAAATAAGTTTTATTCTACTGCTATCTTAATAATAAAAACCAGCTAAATTATCAACGTAAATATTGTACAAAACTGTTAAGCCTCAGCTCGTTTTTATTACTGTCAATGCATCAATTTGTCATCGGTACAATTTCAGAAGCGTTTTTCAACATCCACAATTATTGTCAGACTTTTGGGTCCATCAAAAAGCATATTCTTGTTTTCGAACATTTTTTTCTTTTTTTCTTTATTATGGTAAGCAAAATTTTTAGTTCCTTTTTGTACAATTTTTTTTTTTTTTTGCACTAATACACCTAATGAACAGTGTTATAGGTATGTTACAAAATGTTAAAAAAAAAAAAAAACTTTTCTTATATACAAAAAATTTGATGACACTTGGTACTTTTTTAACTACCGGCATATTGTAGGAGATTGATTATGCGGAATTTGATCAAAACGTAGAAAATGATCCGGAATCTGCTACTGTCAACTGCAGAAAGGTAAATGCACTGAAGTCATTAATGCTGCATAATTTTAAGCTTATCATATCACTGTCTTTCGCGTCTATCAATATCCAAGCTGATGGCCAATTATTAATGTATAAATTTAATCCCCACAAAAAAACGTTGAGTAAATAACAAAAAAAAATTACCCGACTGCTTGAAGACAGATTTGAAACAGTGTTTTGCATAGAAAAACTTTGCACCTAGTCTTCAGATGCTGTTAATAAGAAATCACGCTTCAATATTAAACTAAAATTGTTCATGGAATGAGACTCAAGTCAGTATTACAAATTTTCTCAATGTGTTGCCCTCTTAAGTCGCCCTAAAACACTCTTTAGAATTCAAAGTACTAAATCTTTTAGTCTTCTCGCATTTCTTGTGACAATTATCAAAACATTATTGTTATCAAATGTATCCAAGTTTGAGATTGGCCAAATAAATTGCAAAACAGTTTCTCCACTTCGATATTTCAGAAATTTATAACGGATCCCTCACTGCAAAAAAACCCAGAGTTTCTATGGCGTTTTGGTGAAGCCTGTATGATGTGGGCGAACAAATACAAAAAGCGAAATCCCAAAAGACGAGAACTAATTTTTGAAGGTATTTTTGCAATTAGTGTGCTAACTGCTTGTTCCATATTACTTTCTTTTACCACTTATTTGCTCTAATACCTTTTTATGGCATACAAATAAGATTTGATCAGCACAACAGTACTTTCAAAAAATACAAGTATGTTTAGATCAAAAGTTCATCGTAAACTGTTACAATTTTTGTCGGAAAAATTTACAGAAACATTTATTAGTGCTCATTCAAATGAATTCATTTGGAAGAAACGATTGAAATTTAGTGAGGAAAGAAAAGAGGAAATAAATAAACCATAAGCTCCTGCCGTCTCAAAAAGGCAGTCCGTACCGTTTTATTACTCATCTTTACTTAAAAACCATTCAGCTGACTAAAAAATTGATTGTTCTGTCAAATAATTTCAACCCGGTGCTTTAACCGAGAAAAACATTTTCAGATTACTTTTTTGCTTGTAAAAAAAGTTGTTTTTATTTGTTAAAAAAAGCCTTGAAAGAAATTTTTTTTGCTTTGGTTATATCCCGTCCACCTTCCCCCTAAAACTTTCGTAGTTCACTCTAACCCATAATTAAAGTTTTCGTCGCCCATGCGTCAAAACTTTTCCAAATTAGAACCTTTTCGGTATGTCTTACCGACCGTCCTGTAGCAGATAAATAGCAGATGAACAATGAAAAATTATTGACATAGAAGAACAATATTAACTTCATCTAATTTACACTTTTTACCTTAATTTTTCCCTTTCTTTACCCCTTCCTCTCTTATTCTTTACTTTAATCTTTGAAAATTTGCTTTTGCTGAAGACAGTGTAATGCAAGTGATATCAAATTAATCATTATTCATGCGAAAAAGCTAGATAAAATCTTTCTGGTTGGAAGGACAGAAGAAAAGTTCAGTACTTTAAATTAGCAGCCTTTTTGTTACTGCTGCTCTTGTAAAGTCTTCAAGATTATTCTAAAAAATTATTGATAAATCTTCCGCTTGAACCTGCTTTCCCATACGTACGTTTTCTCATCGTTCACGAATTTTGTACAGTAATTGCACCGATGGTGGTAACAAAACAAAAATCAGCAAGTCGTCACTGAATTATAACACTAGTAACTCAGACGTCTTACTGCTCTGGAATTCTCCAAATTCTAAACGTTGTGCTACTAAGTAATTAATTCATAGTGCCAATAATCCATCTAAACGTCTGCAGCTGTCTGACCACCAAGATTTTTGAAGACTACTTAACAGATTTCTGTTACCGTCTTAATCATCAGCACCCGCGGTGAAATAGATCAACGCAATGTCGTTTTGAAAAAAAAATTAGCTTCTCTGACCTTTAACTTTCAGACAAATAGTAGGTACCCTTAAGTTCACAAGCATTTCTATGTTCCATTATTTTTTTAAATTCTACTTCAAACGTCTTGCCAAAACTTAATATCACTTTCAGAATTACAAAAAAGGCAAAAAAAAATCCAAAAAAAAAAAAAAAACAAATCCTGTACTACCGTTTCAGTGAAAATGGTCACATTACTATTAGCTTAACATTGTTTACCTAACCACGCCTAACTTTCCTAAGCACGGTCATTTTTCTATAATTAATCATGTGCGTTTAGAAAAGTTACAGAATGTGAGTAAAAATCACAGTTCATAACTTAAGTAAACAATTTTACTTCACAACCTCAAATCACTAAAAAAAAAAATAAAAATAAAATAAAATAAAGAAACAATCTAAACATTCAAATAATGATGTTACGTGGAAAGAAAAAACTGCTGAAACAGGCAGTGACACTGC